TGTTTTGCTCTTTTTAATATTGTTTGTTCAGAAAATTAATGTGGGAATTTGAAAAAATGATCGTGATTTCTACATTTTTTTGTTTAGTAGCCCTGAAGGTTCAGATTTTTGCATTCTATTGGATTGTTGATATCCTCTTCCCACTTTAGAATTTAGTTGCTTGGTTTAATTTAATGTACAAGAGAAATCCACCTTCTATATTAAATATGTAGTTACTGGTAACTAATGGCAAACTGGAATTTATTTAAGCTTGCAATGTACTCACTTCTTCATTTTTTTTATTTTGAATAGGAAGTGCACTGATCCCTAAATCTGCTTTCCAGTTTCTATAGTTACTTTCATACCCAAATGTTAAACTCTTATAAACAATGTGTGGAAGCATAAATAATATATGTGAAAATAAATATGTTCATATGTTTATCCTAATTACACAAATTGATTCTCTCTGCCATGTTTCTCCTGTTCTTTCTTAAATGCTAGAAATCTACTAAGGCTCTCTGGATGTTAGACTCTGACATGCTACTATACTGTTCAATGATCAGTTTATAATTTTATTTTCAGGTGTTACTGGGGCTTCCACAGCCATTTTAGCCGAGAAGCGGAACATTTGTTTAATTCACTGGAATCCTCGTACCAGAAAGCCCTGCAGTCTCACTTGAAGAATTCTGATAGCATAGTGTCTTTGCCTCAGTCAGATCGCTCCTCTTCTAGTTCCCAGGAGAGTCTCAAGTAAGCCCTCATTTCCACCATTGTATTGCTATTGGATGAACTTAATACCTTGAGTATTAGATATCCCTCCTTCATCTATAAATTACTGCCCTTGCATTTTGGAAATTGTTATTTTCATGCATATAAAATTACGAATTTTACTCTTACATGGAGTCTAAAACTGATTTTGCTTCGTTACTTATTTTTGTTTCTGTCCAGCATTTTTGTAGGAAGATTCAAAGCACATTAAAGTAAAACAGTATAAGTACAAATAATACAGAATAATTCATCAAGGCTAGTAAAGAATGTCCAACATAAATTTAATTATGGAATGAAAGAAATCCATTAATTCTATTCTTTTTTAGCCGTCCACTATCTGCCAAAAGAAGCCCAACCGGAAGCACTACTTCACGAGGTAAGAATGAGAAACCAGGAGAAGAAATGGCCAGATGTGAGGCAGAGTAAGCTTTCTCTTTCTTGCAAAATAAGTAATTCTTATTCATACTACTTTTGTAGATTAAACAATGGGGGTCTAATACAGAATGATTCTAAATATAATTTTTACCTTTGAAGAAATATTGAAATATGAGTTGCTTTATTCCTAAGCAAACTTTCATCTTGTGTGTAATCATGGATAATGGTAGCAGAATACTGAAAGCAAATTTTAGTCTCGGATATGGAAGGTCTATATGAATTCACAAAATATTCTATAAACATTGAGGCCATCTGTGACGTAAGATCTGAGTTATTTTCCAAGCCCAAATTTTGTATTTATCCTTAATATGTTATGTGGCAAACATTATTTTAAAGACATAAACACCACATTTGATTATAAAAGTGCTGTCCAGCACTGTTGTAATAATCCCTGCAAAAAGCTTGCTGGGTACTACCAATCGTAAACAGCAGAGGGGACTTGATAGCAACCAACAGAGATCAAAGCACCCCAAAATTTGCTGAGCATAGCCCTATCAAGCAAAATGTGGGGCATGAAGCAGCTCAGTGTCCTGCGCTGCCATAGATTCATAAAATGCTACAGAGGAAGAACTCTGCTAGGCAAAAGCTATAAAATGTCTGTTTGGACTCTAAATACAATATGTTTGTCAAACAAAAAGCCATTTGTTATAGTGGCAAGCTGAGGAGTTATAATGGTGTTATGAGTTTCCAAGTGTTTGTTGTTGAAAGGTGGTGTAGGAGTTTGATGGATTTTGGAAAGTACTTTGATTGCATTTGTGCAATAATATGAAGTCTTACCAGAATTTATTATTTTGGGGTTACATTTTATTAAGCTTAATATATATATTAGCCATGCCCTGTCCTTTCCTACCCAGTTTAAAATGTAAAATCATTCTCACATGATAGTAGTCTACCCATAAAAATGACTTAGTAGAGCATTTCTGTGCTTAAAATGGAGGGTGTACCTATTGTCCCCAGTTCTTTCAGAAGGAATTGAAAGAATATTCTGAAGCGATCATATTAAGACACTTCTGGGATAGATTTATCTGTAATTGTGTTTTTTCTTCTTCCTTAAAGCTTCTGCAGTTAGTGCAAAATCTGTGTCAACATCGGGGTCTCTCCAGCGTTCTCGCAGCGACATTGATGTGAATGCAGCAGCCAGCGCCAAATCCAAAGTAACATCTTCTGGCTCGGATTCCCCCTTCAGTTCTGCTGCGGCCCTGCCTCCAGGCTCATATGCATCCCTTGGTAGGTGTGCTTGTTTATCCCAAAGAAGATAAACAGATCGTCAGGACTTTGGGAGTAAAAGGGAAATTTTGTTTTAAGGAATTCAGCTCTACAGAGAAATGTAGATTGAAAAGCAGTACTAGGGCTGAGCCCATATACTGCACTCCACCAAAAATCGTGATTTACAGGCCTCAGTGGCTGGGTCCACCCAGCACAGTAATCCAAAATGAAAGCCAAATTATAGTTTAGTTCCATATGTGACATCAGATGGTGTATCTCATCGTGTGTGGAACAAATAGAGTAAACATTGTTTATTAAATTTTTAGATAAATAAACTATTTATTTTCTAAGGACCAATCGGTTTTGAGGGAAAAGGTGTTTTTGGTGGTATTTTTTTAGAATTCCCTAGCAAGACCTCAGAATTATTTAACAGTTCAAGTAGATCATCAGTCAGTCTGAAGTAAGCTTCTGTAAAAGACTGCAGTAGGTATAAAATAGGAAGTAGCCTATCCTGACAATTCCAGAAAAAGTTCATTTGAACTCGATGTCTAATCCAAGAATAAAAATATGTATTACAAAAAGGAAATAGATTCAATGGAATATATCTCAACAATATATTTCTATTGCTTACTGTTTATGGTCACCTCAGTGATAACAAATCATCTATTAAGAATGACTTGAACAAGTTGACATTAGCATAGCCTTAGTTTAGTCAAAAGAAAATAATTATTCTTGTAAGAGGCTGGTCATTACTGGTGATTATATCAATAGCAGAATGGTGTTTGAACACTACTAATGATTTATGAGAGGTCATTGCAATATGTAACAATGGGGCACCTTCCACTGCTGGCATTTTCTATCTCCTAAATATTTGTTCCACCAGTGTGAAAAATTATATCCTAGGTTTACTGAAGCTTGAGTATGCCATACAAAACTATTTTCAGCACAAAATCAATAATTCTCCTGAGACCCTCAAGTGACATTCTGCATCTCTGGGTGGTGCCTTCTCCTGGAGACAGCAGGCAGTCTAATCTTCAATAACAACTCTAAGGGGAAGAATTATCCAGCCTCCCAGACTGACCTTCTCCAGGCCCTCATTTTCCTATAGAAGGGGGTCGTGTTTTGGGAGTGAATTAAAAGAATTATAGCTCAAGAGATTTCTGATGCCCTGAGGGTTCTGCAGCAGAAAATGGAACAGGTTCATATTCCTCTCCCATCCCAGGTCAAAAGTGCAAAAGAAAGCAAGAAAGAAGCAGACTCTGAAAGAAAGGGCTTTAAAAATCTAGGAATTGTTCCTGTGGGCCATCCAAATTCTCCCTCTTTCCAGTTCTCACAGATCCCTGAACTTCCCCTCTCCTGAGTATATCTCTTAGAAAAAGGGCCAAGAAAGATAAGGGCCACAAGTTTTTTTTGTTTTTTTTTTTTTAAGGGGAAACTATAACGTGTTAGACAGAGATCTGCAAAGCAGTTTAAAATCTCTTCTAATCCTAAAATTTTGGAGGAAGGGGAATTTATAATAAAGAGTGCATGGGTCTCCAGGTCTTTTTTATTCTCCAGCCAAGACATAGGGTTTTTTTGATTTGACTAATCTACAGTGACAAACAGCTGAAAGGCAAAGCCCTACTCTTTCTGTTTCCAGTGATGCTAAATCTACTTTCCAAGAGGATCATAAATTTGGTAACAAACTCTATTCCTTCCTGCCAAGCTAATGAAGTTGTGAAAAAAAAATCCTTTGGTCAATATGCGTGAAACAACCCTATCTTTCTAGCCATCTTTTAGAAGAGGAACTAGGAACAAGAAATGTGATAAGGTGCCAGTCATAGCTTTTTGCTGGGAGCATGAGGAGTTAGCATTTACCTTTTGCTCACCAGCTGCAAATTCTATGCTAGAGCAACTTAAACAACTGGAGGAAATTTTAGGCATGGATAGCTTCTGAAGGAGGCAAAGGATGGCCTTAAAGAAAATATCCAAAGCAGCTAGTCTGATTGATTTACTCTAGATGGAGTCCAGATTAAGGCATTATCTATGGCAAAAAGGTCTATATCAAAGAAGTATCCTAGTTGCACAATTAGGTTATGGATACAGAATCCAAAAGATGGCTTGCATCAGCTCCATTTGCAGGAGCCAGTGGAGGGGAATCTCTTTAAGAAAACTCTTGATTTTGTCTTAGTGGAAACAAAAGATAAAAGACTTTTCTTATAGCAGAAAAGGATAATTTAAAATTTTAGATCTTCTTGTCCTTTTGCCCCAATCAGCTTGCACTCAGATGGTTTCAGGGAACAACCAGATACAGATAGTTTAAACATCTAGGACCTCAGATAAATCCAGTCTCTGCTCAGTGCTCTTCCAAAATTGCCAGAAGTCAAAAAAAAAAAATCAGCTAGAGGCTATTACCTGGAATTCACTTATATGCTACAGAAGAAGCATAACAATTTTAAGGGGGTGTCAAAGCATCAGGATTTTCTTAAGACCACCAATCATCTCCTATAGATCAGTGCAAAAGAACAAGTATGAAATTCCACAGATCTGGAATTTATTTATTTTTATTTTCCAAAGTGAATGGAGGCATAAGGGTTATACTAGATTTGAAGTTGCTCACTGAAAACCTAGGACAGAGATGCTTCAAAAGAGAAATACTAAAGTCAGTTTTGTCAACGATCAACAATAGGATTTGGTAGTTTCTGTACATCTAGCAGAAGCCTACTTTCATCACCTGATTAGAAAAGATACTGAACTTAAAGTTCTGCTGTGATAATGATCACTCTCAGTATTAGGCTTGCTTTTTTAGTTAACTCCAGCGTCACATGATATTAGGAACACCAGTGGTTCATCTACAGCTTTTCATTTCTGTACATAGACAACATTTTGATTTCAGCGTCACCTAGACAGAATTCAGTTTATTGTCTGCTTGAAGGACACAGCTTTGCAATGAACCTGCAGAAGAGTGCCTTTCTGGAACACTTGGTACTATTCTGAACCCCAGTCAATTTCAGAGTTTTTCTGATTCAAGAAAGAATTTGAAGAGTGAATGGTATTTCTCATTTAGAGCCAGAGCTCCGAGGGATCTAGCCTGCCTTTTGGGCATAATGGTGTTATGCTAGAATTGTGTTCCTTGGACTTTATTTGATTCTCAAGAACTTCAAAAGCTACTGTTTCCATTTCACATACCCCTTGCTTTCAAACACACAGAAAAATCATAGTGTTGAATCTTAGTGCATACATAACTAGAATGGAAGCTAATGCCAACCCAGGCTGTCAGGAAAAAAAAAAATCAGCCTGGGCATGTCAGACAGAATGATTGTAAATGGAATCACCAGCCAATGGTTGTGAGGGAGCTTACCTCAACAAGTGGGAATGGAGCTTGCAAGGGAGCCAACAAAGCATCAGTTTTCTGGGTCTCTCTGGAAAGTTTCCAAACCGATGTAGAAGGAAACATGTTGTAATGAAAACAGACAACACATCTGCAAAATCTTATCTGAAAGGAAAGTTAGACTCCGTATTCATCACCAGAGAGGTGAGCAAGTTATATTTATGGTGGAAGAAAAATTGTGCTGGATAAAAGCAGAACACCTATCTGCAGTATCCAATATTGTGGCCAGTTGGCTCAGCAGGACCTTAATTAAGGTATTGGAATGATTCCTCAATATTTAAATTTCTTGGCTATCTGAGATAGACCTGCTGCTACCAGAGATGACACGCAAGTTCAACTGTTCTTCAGATTTCCACATTCAGCAGCAAGTGGGATGATTGCTCTAGTATCTAAATAGCCAAAATAATTTTTTAAAATACCTTTTCACCTTTTCTCATTCTATCACAAGTCATAAAAAGAACTAGAATGAGCAGATTCTGATTAATATCACATTGGCCTCTTCAAAGCTGATTTTCCAACCTGTTCCAGCCAAAACATTGGTGGAACCTAATGGGAAGGACCTTCTACAGAACTCAGTCATCTATCCTTGGAACTGTTTCCAACTGTCTGCCTGAAACTGAACAGATATGGTTAAGGGGATATTCAGATAAAGTCCTCAAGTCTTTGCTTTCCTAAGGGGAAGCTTCTACTACCAGAGAACCTTTTTAAGTAATGGAAAGATGTAGGCAGGTCAGGATTCTTCAGTGAAATATCCTGATTTCACAATATTTTTGATAGAAGTGGGCATATTTAACCTGCCCACAGTTCATAACTTTCTGACCTGGGAGTCTAAACTGGGTCTTCATTGTGCCCACTTTTCTTTGTCCTACATTTGAGCCTTTACCTATACATATTTTGAAATTACTTACACTTAAGATTGTTTGCCTGGTAACCAGAGCTCCAGCCAGCAGATATCAGAATTAAGAGAATTATCAGAATATTGTTTTTAGATTTCAACTTAAATCTTTGATATCACAGAAAATGGATGATAATCCTCTAAGCTTAAAATTGTGACTGGCAAAAGCATCCATGGGGAGGTGGGGGGAGGGCAAATGAAAAAAGCACTCTCATGTTGCAAGTTCTACTCCTATTGGGCATGCATTGTCACATCGCATACACATATGAAAGGGGCAGAACTTATAGTATTAAGCTGCTTTTGTCATTTTGATGAAAACCTTCAGTCCTGTAGATACCTCTAATGACTGGTTTTGTTTCACAGTGTTCAGGTATTTAAGATATCTGGCTGATATCTTATTCTGATATAATGACATGGGAAGCATGGACACCTGCATTTTCTTAAGCAATCTCTACCGTGTTTCCATAAATTTGTATTTATGGTAATAAAATATTTGGGTCCTAGTGGAGGCAAATGCACAAGCCAAAAAAAAAAAAAAAAGCCACAGCTAATTTAGGAATTATTTAAGCATTAAATATGCATGCAATAAAAGGAGTGATTATGTTAGCTGCTTAGATTAACAGTGCATTGTGTGGCCATTTTTAGTCAACTGGAGCTGCTATTACAATTCAGTCTGTAGTGAAGAGATATCTCTTAAATGAGTAGCAGAATGAATATTTATTTATAGTAGTATGCTTTAAGTAGCATATAATTCCA